CAGGAGGACGGCACCGCCCACAATGCCACCGCCCCCCCAGCAGCACATTGTGGGGGGGGGGGCAAACCTTCTTGTGGAGGCAGAGGCTGACGTACTAAATGAGGACTTTGCATCTGTCTTCACAAAAGAAGAGAATGGAGCCAATGCCACAGTATTGGGGGAGAGGGGAGAGAAATTGGATAAGATAAGAATAAACTGAGAGGAGGGACTAAAAAGGTTGACGGTGCACAAGATAGATAAGTCACCCGGTCTGGACGGGCTGCATCCTAAGTTACTGAGAGGAGTGAGGGTGGAAATAACGGAGGCCACAACCATTCAATCCTCCTTGGACACCGGGAAGTGCCAGAGGACTGGAGATCATCAAATGTTACTCCCCTGTACAAAAAGGGGCAGAAGGATAAACCCAGGAACTACGGCCAGTCAGACTAACGTCAGTATTGGGGAAACTTCGAGAGACTATAATCCGGAACAAAATAAATTTTCACTTAGAAAAATATGGTTTAATAAAGGACAGTCAACATGGGTTTGTTAAAGGCAAATCGTGTCTAACAAACCTGATAGAGTTTCTTGATGAAGTAACGGAGAGGGTGGGTGAAGATTGTGCAGTTGATGTAGTTTATATGGATTTTCAAAAGGTATTTGATTAAAGTGCCACATAAGAGACTTGGCAGCAAAACACAAGCCCACGGTATTAACGGGACAGTGGCAGCGGATACAGAACTGGGAGACAGAAAGCAGAGAGTGTGGGGAACGGTTGTTTTTCTGACTGGAGGGAAGTGTCCAGTGGTGACCCCCAGGGGTCAGTATTGGGGCCACTGCTGTGTTTGATCTATATAAGTAACCGGAACTTGGATAGTGAGGAAGATAGTAACCGACTGCAAGAGGACATAGACAGACTGGTAACATGGGCCGACACGTGGCAGATGAGGTTTAATGTGGAGAGATGCAAAGTGATCCATTTTGTGAGGAAGAGTGAGGAGAGGCGACATAAGCTGATGGGACAATCTTAAAGGGGTGAAGGGACAGAGAGACCTGGGGGTCATATAAGGAAATCTCTGAAGGTGACCGGACAGGTGATAAAGCTGTTAAAAAGCATCCGGGACACGAGGGTTTATAAATAGGGCATAGAATACACACGTCAGGAAGTTATGATGAACCTTTATATAAAACACTGGTGAGGCCTCAGCGAGAGACTGGGGTCAGTTCTGGGCCCCACACTTTAGGAAGGATGTCAAGGCATTGGAGAGGGTGCGAAGGGGATTGACCAGAATGGTACCAGGAATGAGGGCCTTCAGTTATCAGGAGAGGCCGGAGAGGCCAGGATTGTCCTCCTCGGGCAGAGAAGGTTAAGATAAGACTTAATAAAAGTTTTCAAAATGATGAGGGGATATGATAGGGTGAACAGGAGAAACTATTCCCACTGGCGGGTGGGTCGGTAACCCGAGGACACCGGTTTAAATTAGTTGTTAAAAGAAACAGAGGGGAGGAGAGGAGAAATGTTTTCACACAGTGAGTTGTTGGGATCTGGAATGCGTTGCCTGAAAGGCTGGAGGAAGGAGATTAGATAACAACTTTGGAGAGAGAAGCAGAGAGAAGAGGAAAAGTTTGCAGAGCTATGGGGAGAGCGCGGGGGAGTGGGGTTGATCAGGGCTATGGGGAGAGAGTGGGGGAGTGGGGTTGATCAGGGCTATGGGGAGAGAGTGGGGGAGTGGGGTTGATCAGGGCTATGGGGAGAGAGTGGGGAAGTGGGGTTGATCAGGGCTATGGGGAGAGAGCGGGGGAGGGGTTGATCAGGGCTGTGGGGAGAGAGTGCGGGAGTGAGGTTGATCAGGGCTATGGGGAGAGAGTGGGGAAGTGGGGTTGATCAAGGCTATGGGGAGAGAGCGCGGGAGTGGGGTTGATCAGGGCTATGGGGAGAGAGCGGGGGAGTGGGGTTGATCAGGGCTATGGGGAGAGAGTGGGGAAGTGGGGTTGATCAGGGCTATGGGGAGAGAGTGGGGAAGTGGGGTTGATCAGGGCTGTGGGGAGAGAGGGGGAGTGGGGTTGATCAGGGCTATGGGGAGAGAGGGGGAGTGGGGTTGATCAGGGCTATGGGGAGAGGGGGAGTGGGGTTGATCAGGGCTATGGGGAGAGAGTGGGGAAGTGGGGTTGATCAGGGCTGTGGGGAGTGGGGAAGTGGGGTTGATCAGGGCTATGGGGAGAGAGTGGGGAAGTGGGGTTGATCAGGGCTATGGGGAGAGAGTGGGGAAGTGGGGTTGATCAGGGCTATGGGGAGAGAGTGGGGAAGTGGGGTTGATCAGGGCTGTGGGGAGAGCGCGGGGGAGTGGGGTTGATCAGGGCTGTGGGGAGAGAGCGGGGGAGTGGGGTTGATCAGGGCTGTGGGGAGAGAGCGGGGGAGTGGGGTTGATCAGGGCTGTGGGGAGAGGGGGGAGTGGGGTTGATCAGGGCTATGGGGAGAGTGGGGGAGTGGGGTTGATCAGGGCTATGGGGGGAGTGGGGGAGTGGGGTTGATCAGGGCTATGGGGAGAGAGTGGGGGAGTGGGGTTGATCAGGGCTATGGGGGAGTGGGGAGTGGGGTTGATCAGGGCTGTGGGGAGAGTGGGGGAGTGGGGTTGATCAGGGCTGTGGGGAGAGTGGGGGAGTGGGGTTGATCAGGGCTGTGGGGGAGTGGGGGAGTGGGGTTGATCAGGGCTATGGGGAGAGTGGGGGAGTGGGGTTGATCAGGGCTATGGGGAGAGTGGGGGAGTGGGGTTGATCAGGGCTGTGGGGAGAGTGGGGGAGTGGGGTTGATCAGGGCTATGGGGAGAGTGGGGGAGTGGGGTTGATCAGGGCTATGGGGGGAGTGGGGGAGTGGGGTTGATCAGAGCTGTGGGGAGAGTGGGGGAGTGGGGTTGATCAGAGCTGTGGGGAGAGTGGGGGAGTGGGGTTGATCAGGGCTATGGGGAGAGAGTGGGGGAGTGGGGTTGATCAGGGCTATGGGGAGAGTGGGGGAGTGGGGTTGATCAGGGCTATGGGGAGAGTGGGGGAGTGGGGTTGATCAGGGCTATGGGGAGAGCGCGGGGGAGTGGGGTTGATCAGGGCTATGGGGAGAGCGCGGGGGAGTGGGGTTGATCAGGGCTGTGGGGAGAGTGGGGGAGTGGGGGAGTGGGGTTGTTGAATTGGAAGCTTTTTTCAAAGAGCAGCACAGACTCGACGGGACAAATTGTTGTTGTTTAAGTTGACTTTTCAATTGACCCATATTTAATATTTATCTGCACATCTCCATCATATCTGTAAAGAACATTCCTCTGACTCCCTTTTCCTCCTTCTGGTGATAAATATTTAACAAAAACTATTTGACTCCACTTCCACTCCCTCCAACTGTTCCTTCGGTGGAGAGATTAGGGAATGGGGTTAGAGTAGAGAGCTCCAGTGGGGAGCGAGCCCCAACACAGACACCATGGGGAGAGAGAGAGAGAGAGAGAGCAGGGAATGGGGTTAGAGTAGAGAGCTCCAGTGGGGGAGTGAGCACCGGCGTGAACCCACAACCTCCTGACCTTATACAAGGTGACAGTGATTATAATGCCATATCTCTCTCCCCTTCACGAGCGGAATTTACATACAAAATACACAGTCACTGCACTTTACAGCAAAACCTTCAGTAACGAATGGGGAGTCAGACTAGTCAAGTGCGTTGACCAAAAGTGCAGACAAAGTTGAGAGTTATTCATGGACGAGAGAGACATAATGGAGTCCTGTAGCTCAGTGGTTAGAGCACTCGCTTTGCAAGTGAGAGACCTGAGTTCAATTCCAGGCAGAGGGCGAAACCTTGGGCAAGTTTCCTTACTCCACACAGAGCCTAATAATAATACCTCCAAAACAAAAACAATAATAAATTGGTCATTTTCAATCTACGACTGTTTGTGGGACATTGCTGTGCGCAATTGGCTGCCGCGTTCGCCCACAAATATACAGTCAATTCACTTTGCAGTGTGTTCTGTGAAGCGCTTTGGGACGTCCTCCCGACGGGAAAAGCGCTATATCAAATGCAAGGATTATTATTATTATTATTATTATTATAATAATTATAATAATCTTTGCATTTGATATAGCACCATATCACGTCTTCGAGACGTCTCAAAGCGCTTCACGGATTAAACTGCAAAGTGCAGTGACTGTGTATTTTGCGGGGCCAAAGGTGGCAGCCAATTGCGCACAAACAGTCGTGGATTGAGTGACCAAATTATGATATATTTTTTTGAGGGATTGAAAGCAATGAAAGTGATCCACTGATCGATTGACAACCAGGTTGGATCTCCCGAACAGATTTACCTCCTACTGATAAACAGAGACATGTGGAGTAACAAAACTTGACTAAGGTTTGGCCCTGACCTGCCCGGGAATCAAACCCAGGTCACTCGCTTGCGAGGCGACGGCTCTAACCACTGAGCTACAGGACAGACACGTGTCTAGGGCAATGCCACACTGCGCCATCCCTCGCTGAACCTCGCTCCCTGTCTGTGCCCTGTTCAGGTGGATGTTAAAGCTCTCCCGGGGCGCCGGCAGAAACACAGAAGGGAGTTTCTCTCTCTCTCCCCCGGTGTCCTGGCCGACAATCCCCCGGATAAAGTCTCTCGCTCACTCGCTCGCTCGCCTCACGGCTGTTTGCAGTGACTTTGCTTTGCTCAAATCTGCTGTCGCGTTTGCACAGAGAAATACACAGTCACTACACCAGACTGCAACACCAAACAAAGCAGGCTGAGTGTGAAAGGCAAGTCAGGGTTGATCACTGTACATTACACATTTTACAGTGAATCCTGTCACACACTTGGTGGCTTCACATGGATGAGATGCAAATGCAAAGATTATTATAACAAACATCATTCGTAAACTATCCCCACAGACTGCACACCCACTGACACAAACACATTCCTTCGTCCAATTGACAAAGTTGTGTTAAAACTTCCTGAAGCACATTATACCGCAGTTTATCAAAGAGAGAAAGAGACAGAGAGATTTACCTGATAACTCGCTCTCAGGAAAACACAACTCACTCTCAGCTGAGGGGGAAGATCCCGCAGCCCAGAGCGCAGCTAATGACACGTCCCAGGTGGGTTGGGAGGAAAAACGTGAAATAAAATGTTGATGTGTGTGTCCGTGTTTATGTGGGTGTGTATGTATGTGTGTGTGTGCACTTGTGTTTATACGAGTGTATTTGTATGTATGTGTCTGTGTGTATACTTGTGTTTATACGTGTGTGCTTGTGTGCATTAGTTTGTGTGTGTATGTTAGTGTGTGTGTATGTGTTAGTATGTATGTTTGTGTGTGTGTATGTTAGAGTGTGTATATGTATACTAGTATGTTTATATTTATGTTAGTGTGTGTGTATGTTAGTGGGTGTGTATGTGTTAGTATGTATGTTTGTGTGTGTGTGTATGTATGTATGTTAGCATGTGTTTGTGTGTTAGTGTGTGTGTGTATATGTTAGCGAGGGTGTATATGTTAGTGTGTGTATGACAGTGTGTGTAGTGTGTGTATGACAGTGTGTGTATGTTAGTGTGTGTGTATGACAGTGTATGTTAGTGTGTGTGTACGACAGTGTATGTGAGTGTGTGTGTATGTTAGTGTGTGTATGACAGTGTATGTTAGTGTGTGTATGTTAGTGTGTGTGTATATGTCAGTGTATGTTAGTGTGTGTGTATGTTAGTGTGTGTGTGTGTATGACAATGTATGTTAGTATGTGTATGTTAGTGTGTGTATGTTAGTGTGCATGTATGTCAGTGTATGTTAGTGTGAGTGTATGTCAGTTTATGTTAGTGTGTGTGTATGTTAGTGTGTGTATACGACAGTGTATGTTAGTATGTGTGTTAGTGTACGTTAGTGTGTGTATGTTAGTGTGTGTGTATGTCAGTGTATGTTAGTGTGTACTCTAACGGGTTACAGTATAAAGCTGGTTCTCAGCTGCACTCAGTCTAACACTAATAACAACTCACCACATACACCGTGTGTCCAACTCCTCACAATCAGCCCAGAGGGAACGTGCTGCTGGGACCTGGGGGTTGGGCTGAAGGTTGGGCTCAGAGCTGGGGGTTGGGCTGGGGTTTAGGGCTGGGGCTGGGGTTTGGGTCGGGTGGTTGGGGCGGGAGGCTGGGGGTTGGGGTGGGTGGTTGGGGCGGGGGGCTGGGGGTTGGGGTGGGTGGTTGGGGCGGGGGCTGAGGGTTGGGGTGGGTGGTTGGGGCGGGGGCTGAGGTTGGGGTGGGTGGTTGGGGCGGGGGGCTGGGGTTGGGGTGGGTGGTTGGGGCGGGGGCTGAGGGTTGGGGTAGGTGGTTGGGTTGGGGGCTGGGGGTTGGGCGGGTGGTTGGGGCGGGTGGTTGGGGGTTGGGGTGGGTGGTTGGGGCGGGGGCTGGGGTTGGGGTGGGTGGTTGGGCGGGGGGCTGGGGTTGGGGCGGGTGGTTGGGGCGGGGGCTGGGGGTTGGGCGGGTGTTGGGGCGGGTGTTTGGGCTGGGTTGCCAGCGAGAGAGAGAGAGAGAGAGAGTGAGAAACTCCCCTATCTTTCCCAACAGCCACGGGATCTGTTCAGGTGTGGGATCCACCCGAACAGGCAGACGGGACCTTGGTTTAACATCTCGTTCCAAGGGAGAGGGGGGTGGGGGGTGTGGGGGAGCAAGAGAGGGGGAGAGAGGGAGAGAGGGACGAGAGAGAGGGGGAAGAGGGATGGGGGGGGGGGGGTGGTGGGGGGAAGCCTCCAAGCATCAAACAAGATCCCTTTTGTCACGTCCCACATTGCAGCCGTGGACGGATTGGGGCTGAGATGATCCTCAGTGTGATGCTGCTCTCGGGTGGACACCCACAGGCACTGCAGCACGAAGAACGGGTCGGCGACCAGCGAGACGGAGGGCGCAGAACGAGGATCAACGCTCACATTCGAAGCAGCGCCTTATCACGTCTCAAAGCGCGTCGCGGAAGAGTGTGTAAAGCGGGAACACCAACACTGGTCGCTGGGAACGCTCAGCAGGTCAGGCAGCGTCTATGGAGAAAGGAAAGTGAGTCAACATTTCGGTCCACGACCCAAAAGGGTCGTGGACCGAAATGTTGACTCACTTTCCTTTCTCCATAGACGCTGCCTGACCTGCTGAGCGCTCCCAGCGACGTCTTATTATCTCAGATTTCTGGGATTTCTTTACAATAGATAGTTGTTCCTGTTGAGTCATTCATCCCGTTGGGAAATGGGAGTCGCCGACCGGGAAATTGTTGCGGGTTTCAACACCGCTCAACTCCTGATAAGTTTGTGAGCCAAAGCCCTAACGGGTAGGAGTTTAACAGCTGGACGGGGCGCGGGAGAGCTCGCCAGGCAGCACTCTCAATGGGCTTCAGCCGGAAACTCCAGCAGTTACCCCCACATTGGCCCCCACCACCACCCCCACCCGTCCCACCCCGCTGGGTGTCAGCCTGGGACGTCCTCCTGACGTGAAAGGCGCTTTATAAATGGAATCTTGTTGTTGTTGTTGTAGTGTGCGTCAGCCCAGAGAGGGAGAGGGAGAGGTTAGGGAGGGAGGAAGGGAACGAGGGGCTGAGGGAGGGGATGACAGAGGGAGGGGGTGAGGGAGGGAGGGAGGGGGTGAGTGAGGGAAGGAGGGAGGGAGGGGGAGAGCGAAGGAGAGAGGGAGATGGACGGAGAGATGGAGGCGGAGGGAGGGAGGGAGGGAGGGAGGGAGGGAGGGTGAGAGCGAGGGAGAGAGGAGATGGACGGAGAGATGGAGGCAGAGGGAGGGAGGGAGGGAGGGAGGAGGGAGGGAGGGTGAGAGCGAGGGAGAGAGGGAGATGGACGGAGAGATGGAGGCAGAGGGAGGGAGGGAGGGAGGGAGGGGGAGGGAGGGATGATGTTCCAGATAATATTATAATAGTTTGTGAAGATGGTGAGGTCCCTCGGAGATGGCGACAGACACGTTGGGGTGAGTGGTTCCCTCTGGGATTGTAGCCCTCCGATGGCTGAACTGAGGCCACTGACGATGATAATAAAAATTATTTTACTTATTAGCGTCATAATCTGTGGGTTTTCAGGCGCCTGTGAGAGTGATTCACCGAAAAGTGTAGTGACTGTTTGTGGGTGACTGTGGCAACCATTTTGCTCACAGGATTCCGTGCACACACCGACATGCACACCTGGCTGTGAGCTGTGAGTGCACACCTGGCTGTGAGCTGTGAGTGCACACCTGGCTGTGAGCTGTGAGCTGTGAGTGCACACCTGGCTGTGAGCTGTGAGTGCACACCTGGCTGTGAGCTGTGAGTGAGTGCACACCTGGATGTGAGTGTACAACTCGCTGTGAGCGCACACTTGGCTGTGAGTGCACACCTGGCTGTGAGCTGTGAGCTGTGAGTGCACACCTGGCTGTGAGTTGTGAGTGAGTGCACACCTGGATGTGAGCTGTGAGCGCACACTTGGCAGTGAGTGCACACCTGGCTGTGAGCTGTGAGCGAGTGCACACCTGGCTGTGAGCTGTGAGTGAGTGCACACCTGGCTATGAGCTGTGAGTGCACAACTGGTTGTGAGCTGTGAGTGCACACCTGGCTGTGAGCTGTGAGTGCACACCTGACTGTGAGCTGTGAGCGAGTGCACACCTGGTTGTCAGCTGTGAGTGCACACCTCGCTGTGAGCTGTGAACGAGTGCACACCTGTCTGTGAGCTGCGAGTGTGCGCACACCTGGCTGTGAGATGTGTGTGCACACCTGGCTGTGAGCTGTGAGTGAGTGCACACCTGGCTGTGAGCTGTGAGCGAGTGCACACCTGGCTGTGAGCTGTGAGTGCACACCTGGCTGTGAACTGTGAGTGAGTACACACCTGTCTGTGAGCTGTGATTGCACACCTGGCTGTGAGATACGAGTGCACAACTGGCTGTGAGCTGTGAGTGAGTGCACACCTGGCCGTGAGTTGTGAGTGCATACCTGGCAGTGAGGAGTGAGCGAGTGCACACCTGGCTGTGAGCTGTGAGCTGTGATTGCACACCTGGCTGTGAGCTGCGAGTGAATGCACACCTGGCTGTGAGCTGTGAGTGAGTGCACACCTGGCTGTGAGCTGCGAGCGAGTGCACACCTGGCTGTGAGCTATGTGTGCACACCTGGCTGTGAGCTGTGAGTGAGTGCACACCTGGTTGTGAGCTGTGAGCGACCGCACACCTGGTTGTGAGCTGTGAGTGCATACCTGGCAATGAGGAGTGAGCGAGTGCACACCTGGCTGTGAGCTGTGAGTGAGTACACACCTGGCTGTGAGCTGTGAACGAGTGCACACCTGTCTGTGAGCTGCGAGTGTGCGCACACCTCGCTGTGAGGTGTGAGTGCACACCTGGCTGTTAGATGTGTGTGCACACCTGGCTGTGAGCTGTGAGTGAATGCACACCTGGCTGTGAGCTGTGAGTGAATGCACACCTGGCTGTGAGCTGTGAGCGAGTGCACACCTGGCTGTGAGTGTGCGCACACCTGGCTGTGAGCTGTGAGTGAATGCACACCTGGCTGTGAGCTGTGAGTGAATGCACACCTGGCTGTGAGCTGTGAGTGAATGCACACCTGGCTGTGAGCTGTGAGTGAATGCACACCTGGCTGTGAGCTGTGAGCGAGTGCACACCTGGCTGTGAGTGTGCGCACACCTGGCTGTGAGGTGTGAGTGCACACCTGGCTGTGAGCTGTTGAGTGCACACCTGGCAGTGAGGAGTGAGCGAGTGCACACCTGGCTGTGAGCTGCGAGTGTGCGCACACCTGGCTGTGAGCTGTGAGTGCACACCTGGCTGTGAGGTGTGAGTGCACACCTGGCTGTCAGCTGTGTGTACACAACTGGCAGTGAGGAGTGAGCGAGTGCACACCTGGCTGTGATCTGTTAGTGCACACCTGGCTGTGAGCTCTGAGTGACTGCACACCTCGCTGTGAGCTGTTAGTGCACACCTGGTTGTGAGTGAGTGCACACCTGGCTGTGAGCTGTGAGTGCACACCTGGCTGTGAGCTGTGAACGAGTGCACACCTGTCTGTGAGCTGTGAGTGCACACCTGGCTGTGAGCTGTGAGTGCACACCTGGCTGTGAGCTGTGAGTGCACACCTGGCTGTGAGCTGTGAGCGACTGCACACCTGGCTGTGAGCTGTGAGTGAGTGCACACCTGGCTGTGAGCTGTGAGTGCACACCTGGCTGTGAGCTGT